ATATGATGATGAAGAAGAAGAATCTATGATGAAATTGGTATCTAACGAATTAAGTTCGTTGACAGTGACATTGTAAATGTCAGTGAAACAAAGAGACATGAAAATTAAAAATGGACAAAACATGTACACACCAACCCAGTGAATTGTTGATAAGATCTTATTCCAGATTTGATTGATTTGAAGCAAGGAACAAATACATGTTGACTTGGAAAGTAGAAATAATTCTTCCTTCCCAAACTTTGATATTACTAAATGTTCATTTAATTATTGATTTATTTATTTGAACACATAAAAATTGATAGTAAGGGGCTTAGAATAAATATGCATCACACAAGTCACTTGATTTGTGTGTCGGCTGTGATACTGCTCGGATGCTCAGAACGAAACAGGTGATTTTCTTAGATAGTAAACGGTGACCAACAATTGGTTCATACGCCATTTGTTCCTTCAAGATCCTGGAGCCTATGTACACCATTGGTTTGGATTCTGTGTTTTCCAATCTAGTGTATCCACTAAGCCGGTCCAAGCGTCAGGCATTCGCTTTTCGTCCTCTCAACTTCGTAGACAACAGTATATACAAGAAATATACAAGCGCATTAAACTAACCGGATCAACAAGTTCACGACTGTATAGTTCGCTTAAAGTGAATCAACCTGGATTAACTCTTCAATCAATTCATGTTATGTCCGAATTTACCTATCACTATATAGCATAGGTGCTGGTAGATCCCTGGACACCTATAACAATACGTATTCATATCCGTTCTCTACATGACACTTTCCAATTCATTGACTACATGAAAGAAGTAAATGTTAATGACAAATTTATCGTTTCATGTTATGTTGAATCACTATTCACTAACATACCATCGCATCTGTAAATACTGGATTATTGAATTCCTATAAATCAGTGAACATTTGAACAATCTTAATTCTTCCGTATCCCTTTCCATTATTATTATTATTATTATTATTATTATTATTATTATTATTACCATTATTGGATATCCTCATGTTACCACAGTTTAATCAAGATGTTTTTCGGCATAAAACACACAATCCTCGTAAACTGTTGATAAGATCTTCATTCAGATCTCATTGAATTGAAACTAGGAATACTTATATGTTGAAGGAAATGAAATGATCGTTAAAGGTTTTGTGACTGACGACAGAATCTCAGTACTGTTGAATGAATATAAATAATTTGTGATCTATTCCAATGTTATGTATATTAGATATAATGTTTTCATATCAGCATATAGACTGTCTGCATCCTGATGTCGAGGTAAGATCTATCATTTTATACATTGAATACATTTTGCTTCATTCAGTTGAATAAGAATGCACAGTTTAAAACATCATTCATATGATCATGATTATGAACTGACTAAAATCCACCTGTAGCTCTTCTAAGATTACTGCCAGTCCCAGGACCTGGTCACGGAGAAGGGTTAGGCGTGGAGTCAAAAACCCCATCCCTTAGAAAACAATATTGATAAAAATATGCTAACCACATTAAATAAATTAAATCATTTAAACTCTGCCCTCTGAATTGAAGGATCTTGTTTCATAGAAGCTATGATGCTTGATAGTGTAAGCCAAGATCCTTTGGAAGTCGCGAAGCCGATACCCCATCTAACAACCAGAGCAACAATTTTTATAGGTACATGGAATGTTCGGAGAATTTAGGAGACCGAGTGGACTACTTAACGGTGCTCGTAATCGATGAAACTCTTCAATCAATTCATGTTATATCAGAATTCTTAATGCAGATCGAATCCTATCGACCAAGTTGTAATGTAGCCACCAGTCTAAGTGACTTGACATTGTGTGAACTATGTTGAAATAAAATGGTGGTTGTAGGTAGTCAACAGGTAACTATCAACCTAGATTTCGTGCTACTTGGCACTCGTCATTAAGGTGTACTTGTAATCTTGCGGAAACTGATGCTAGCTGACGGATTCGATCCCATTTCGCTCAGCTTCACATTCTGAATTCCACTGCTAGACACTATCCATCTTTGATTGTTATTCTTAATGTTGCGAATACCATTACAGATAAGTGTTTATCAAAATGATATAATTCATCAGTTAAATTGTTCTAATCTATATCATAAATCGTTAAAAATGTTTTTATCGGAAATGTATCACAGTAACGAATGATCAGATAGAAAGTCATTAAACAACACACCAACAACGAATTCTATAAGTAGTTGTTATAATGCACAGCTTTTCATGTCTACTGGAATGGGAGGTTAATATAACGTAAACGAATATCTACACTAGATACCTTCCCAGTGTTCAATTCTACAGGTCTTCAACACAATTCCGATCAGGAACACATGACTCGGCTGACTAGAATGCAAGTATATTTCCATAACAAAAACCGACAACCACAACCACAACAACAACAACAACAACCACAGTCAGACATTATATAACTGATCTATTACATGTCAGACTATCTCTACTAGTCTGATTGAATAAACAACTATTCATTATCATCATCTTCATTAACACACAGTCAACTATCAACATTCAATCAAGAACTCTAATGACCTCATTTCTTTCATTACTATTAACTTAAATTAACTTATACAGAATGAAGATTATTTAGAATGGAAAATAATAACTAACTATACACTATAGATAAACATACGTAATTTTCTATTACCATATCACTAATGATTGCCAAGTTGATTACTTTATATTTACTACTAAATAGTAGGCTTAAATAGATTTATCATAATGATAGATAATGTGTTATAATTGAAAAGGAATTTCTCAATTTAATATAATATATAATGTTGACCTTGTATTTGAACTATAATCAGAATAATCATAGAAACTGAAACAAATCAATTGTGATAGAAGATCTATAGTGAAGTGGATAGAAACTGAAATAGATAGCTGTAAAACAAGAATGCCCAGACCGAAACAGATGGTTTTGTTAGGTGGCCGTACTTGGAGCTTTCGACCTAAAGGTCTGATCCACAAGGCAGTGAAGCAATGTCAGCGGATGCAGTCCCATAATAACCGGTGAGCAACAATTGTTTCATATGCCATTTGTTCCTTCAGGATCTCGGAGCCTATGTACACTATTGGTTTGGATTCTATGTTTCCCAATCTAGTGTACCCACTAAGCCGGTTCAAGCGTCGGGCATTCGCTTTTGGTCTTCTCAACTTCGTAGACAACAGTAATGCCACAAGAAGACAGTGAGTAGGACTTCTCTTATGGAGGTTGTATCCACGTGTCCATGTGAGAGTATTTCGAGAAGGAAAGTATACTTTCCCCATCTTTAGCTGTACCAATGTATTTAGTGACTTGCCCTTATTACAAACACGTTGATACATCTCTTGAATATCAAAATTTCTAGAAGAACATTCTAATTACAAAATTAATAATAGTCATTCATAAATAAGAAACCTGACTCAATTGAATTCTACTATCTAAACTAATGATCTATCAAACTATTAATTAATATAAATTTAACTAATTCATTTTATCAGAAGGGGCTTTGTGGAGATTTAAGTAATTTCAATAGTTGAGATCATGAGTCGATTGATGCTGGAACACCGCGGAAGAGCTGGAAACACTGGATGGCCGTTTCGTCTCAGTATGGAAGTCATCAGCAGTGCGCACCCATGATCCCGCCTCACCCCACGAGATTCGAACCCAGAACTTATCAGTCCCACGCGTAAACGCTTAAGCATTAAACCACTGAGCCTGTTGGTATCCAACGGTGTTAATGTGTAACTTCAATCAATCCACGATATTGCGCCACCGTCCACCATTGCCTTAGGTGAGTTACTATCTCACAGTAGACCCGGTCGAATTCCACTGGTCCCTGCTTCTGGCCAGAGCTCCAGGAAATACCTGTTGAAGTCATTTACTAGTGAGCATATGCTGGTTAAAAATATTTACCTAGTATAGCAATTGATATGAATATTTATCATAACATAGGTGTAATGTTCAACAAAATTTAGGCATGAAGTATATAGAGGATAGTAGGTATTATATCCCAGATTTCATGTTAACTATAACCAACTGAGTTCCCACAACTTACAAGTTATTATCCTTCATCTGGAGAAAAGTACTATATTCTCACTAGTGATTGACTTCAAAAGGCATTTCCTGAAGTTTTAGTAAGAATCAGAGAACAGTGGAATTCAACCAGATCTGTTGTGAGATAGTAACTCACCGATGAAGATAATGATGGATATGTTGCTCAATTTCGTGGATTATTTGAAGTTAGACATTAACACCTTTGGATACTGGCCGACTCAGTGATCTATTGGTTAAACTTTCTCGCGTGAGACTGATAGGTCTTAGGTTCAAATCTCGCTTGGGGTTGGGGGGGGACGGCTGGATCATAGATGTGCACTGATACAGACGAGTCCAATACTAGGATGAAACGACCATTCAAATGTTTCCAGGTTTTCCATGATGATCTAACTCATTCATTTGTAGTGACCTACTTTTGTCAACAGTGATTGTTTTACTGTGCTCGTTTGTTTAACTATGCTAATGACAGCCATTACACTTACTCTCCTGTTGACTTTGAACTCGGTTACGCTCAATAACCACACTTGTACTCCTTTGGCACGATCTTGGTATTCTTTCGATACCACAAGATCGCTAGCAAATATATCTCGACTACAGCCGTCATCTGTCTTCTGATTTTGACCTACAGGGATCTTATTGGTTTACTGGCATGTAGTCTTGTAGTGGTGTTCATAATCAAGCTCAACTTGACATTACGTTACACATTATAATTTATATTGTTAATCAATCATTAGATTGAATTATGACAATAATAAATAAGATCAGTGAATAAAATTCCATTTTTTGTTTTCATTCTTATGAAATGAACCAGTCAATGATAATATAGAATAAAACAACGAATCAGTATCATTTATGTATGATACACCTATCTATTATCAATTATACTGAATAAATAGAATACATACATAGAATACAATGAAAAGGAATTCAATACAAATGTATTACAACTTTGTAATTTATATTAATTTCTTATTGTTTTGGATCCATTCATCAATTCAAGATGGTAAGTTATGATTATTATTATGATTATTATTATTATTGGGTTTATTCCATTGGTTCATCAAGGTTCTGGGTACCTATGTGGTTACACCAAAGGATTAAGATGTACTATTTAGATTATAATTTTGAAGTTTATATAATGTCTAGTTCTCCTGTAAATTAGGATTAAGATGTACTGCTCGAGGTCGTGCACAACCAAACCATACAGCTCAGAGAACAAAACTTCATCAAAATCATCCAGCTGAGCTACAAATCTTCTCCACCATTAAGATGTACTGGTTAGGGTTATAAAATTTAAGCCTGAATTGTATCTGATTCTCTTGAAAACGAGATTGAGCTGTACTGTTTGAATTATAAATTTTAAGTATGGGTAATGTCTGACTCTTCTGTAAGTAGGATTGAGTTGTACTAATCGAGTTGTCACATGAAAGTCTGGATGTTGTCTAGGTCTCTTGAAAATCAATGTAACATTACTATGGCCTATAATGGTATATTACATAACTATGAATATATAACTTTATTCAATATTATATTTTTGGTATAATCTAGAATAATTCCCAGCACAAAATATTACAACAAGTTTATGTTTCTTATATCTTGGTTTATCTCAACCATCAGTATTGAATGGTGGCCAGTGAAATGTTAGTAGTTCAACAATCGATATCTGAATATTGTTCATTCTTTTCAATGCATATTGCCAGCAACCATCATGTCTCTGATTGGGCTTGTACAATGAAATGTTGTAAACGTTTCACAAACGTACATCAATAGGTTATGTAATTAATTGACAATAATGATTTATTAAAACAATCAACGAGACAAATAACTAGTTCGAATTCACTTGGTATTGATTTAATTGAATCTTACAGTCCTAAAGTGAATATCAACTCTAAGATGCAAGTATATTCAACTGATGATATGTCCCAAATAGGACAAAGTAACACGCTTCATGGATTCCACTGCTAGCCACTATCTATTTTTGCTTATAAAACTATAGTTAGAATATCTAGATGGTAGGATCATATAGCCCAGATATTCAAGCAGGTCGTCTAAGTTAATGAAGTATTTAAATATAAGGCAGGTATATATAATTGTGATGAAATTTATATATAAAAACAAAAGAATAGAAGGAATAAAGTAAGAATATATTCTTAACAGAACTATTTAAAATGACATAATTTGTGTTTATATCATTGTATCAATATTCAATGATCAATAGTTTGAATAAAGATACATTCAAAATATAACTAATCGTTAAACATTGAAACATCAACCGAATAAGTATTATATTTGATATTTTTTAATAATGATCTGATTTCTATCATCATTTGTTAATTACTTACTTACTTACGTCTGTTACTCCTAATGAAGCATTGGCCGCCAACCAGCATTCCCCGACCTACTCTGTCCTGAGTCTTCTTTTCTAGTTCCATCCAATTCTTGTTCATTTTTCTCATGTCTCTCTCCATTTCAACGACGTAATGTGTTCTTTGGTCTTCCACTTCTCCTTTGGCCTTGAAAATTCCATGTGAGAGCTTGCCTTGTGACGCAGTTCGATGCTTTCCTCAATATGTATCCTATCTACTTCCAGCGCTTTTTCCTGATTTCTTCCTTCACTGGGATCTGATTTATTCTCTCCCTCAGTAGGTTGTTGCTGATAGTGTCCGGCTAACGGATCTGAAGTATTTTGCGTAGACAACTGTTAATAAACACTTGTATGTTCTGAATGATAGCTTTCGTAGTTTTCCAGGTTTCGACCTCATACAGTAGAACTGTGTTGACATTTGTATTGAAAATTCTGACCTTGATGTTGGTTGACAGTTGTTCTTATTATTCTATAATTATTAAGCAACTATATTATATGTATATTCATATTTCTTTTATGATAAACTTTTATTTGACCTACATACTATTATCATACGACTTACTATTCTTGAATGTGACCTGACATTTACAGCAACTTTTTGGCTTGATCTTGTATAAATGTTATTTTCTATTTTATGATATGAAGTGGTCTGATCTATTTGTATATTCATCTAGTATGTCTGAAATATATAATTTGTATTTCGGAGACTGAGATTGGCGTTCTGAACTAAACAGGCAAAACTGAGAGAAAAAAAAAAAGAAGCGATCAGGACTCTACGCTGCCCGTACTAATGTATGCTTCATTAAGTTGGTCATATAAGTCAGTGTATCTAAATTAGCAGTCGTATACCTAAAAATATAGCACATCGCCTAATACGTTACACAGTAAAAAGAAAACACAAAAAAATGATTAAACCTAGGATCTACTACTTCGATGAATGGATAGAAAAGACATTTAGTGTGACTGAATAGGAATAAAACAAATGCTACAGAGAAAAATGATTTTCACAATTGATTAATCACTGGGTGATGACCAATGTCATGCGCGTCTAGTACTTATTAGTGTAGATTGAATGCTATCGACCATGTTGCGATGTGGCCACCGGTCTTTTCTTTACAACGATTCCATTTGAGTAGGATGTAAAATCATATTTGTATTCAATCAATTCACTTAAATTAGTACTGTGTCGTGGAAGAGAATGTTGTTAAATGATGAAAAACAGTTGTGGTAGTATCGAGTCATGCTGCTACACAACTGTCCTTTGAAATCATTCTAGCAGTCAGTGAAATTCATTGTAAATGAACACGAATGAGAACTGATGTAAAGAAGGGGCTATAGTTTCTCATCAATTCAAGATTAACCTTCGTGTATAAAAACACTATGTTCAGTTCATTATTTACCATGGCCTTAACATTCTTTTTCCATATTCCATAATCTCTTATTTTCATTTCTACTCTTTCACTATAATTGTTCACGATTAATAAATTACCATGACTACAACTGTTGTCTACTCTGTTCTTACTGTCTGTCCAGTGGCCAACCACCTTGGTCAAAACATCATTCGTAAGCCATCGCATCATTACACAACTTCCTCCTAATTTCTTATTTTCATAAACAATTCATGACTCAATACCACTGAAATTGTTTACCTTTATTGAACACTATTCTATTCTCCTGAAGACTACTAAATTTAGTAAGTAATTTACATGTAATTAGGATTGTGCACCTTAACTAAATAAAATTGTCACGTCCTTGACCTGTCTACCCAATTTTGTACAGAGGATCACTTGTCCAATCTAGATGATGATCTTGACGAGATAGGTTTATTGGTTTAACCTTGGGGCTAGTATACATGAGTTCGAAGTGAGACCAACTGCTTGTGGTAGAGAGACGAAAACTATTCTATCACCTGGTAGGATGACAAGCACATGAGCGAGAGAAGACAAGTCAACTGAAACACTGCTCGATTTGTTCCCAATTCAGATTTGGTTCCCGATTTCAGATTAGTGTAAAAAGATACATGAATAAATAGATGACAAACCAGACAATAACATTACTTAGTTACTTACTTAATTACGCCTGTTACTCCTCGTGAAGGAGCATAGGCCGCTCACCAGCATTCTCCATCCAACCCTGTCCTGGGCAATCCTTTCAAGCTCTTTCCAGTTCTCATTCATCCCTTTCATATCCGCTTCTATTTCCCGACGTAATGTGTTCTTTGGCCTTCCGCTTTTCCACTTCCATTCAGGATTCAAAGTTAGCACTTGTCTCGTGATGCAGTTCGGTGATTTCCTCAATGTATGTCCTATCGATTTCCATCGTCTTTTCCTAATTTCCTGTTCAGCTGGAAGCTGGTTGGTTCTCTCCCACAGAAGGCTGTTGCTGATCGTATCCGACCAATGGATGTTGAGTATCTTGCGTAGACAACTATTGATAAATACTTGTACATTCTTGATGGTGGTTGTTGTAGTTCTCCAAGTTTCAGCTCCGTACAGTAGAACTGCCTTGACGTTGGTATTGAAGATTCTGACTTTGATATTGGTTGTCAGATAGTTGTTTTGAGTTCCATGTGTTCTTCAGCTGAAGGAATGCCGCTCTAGCTTTGCCAGTCCTTGCCTTGACGTCTGCATCTGAGCCTCCTTGTTTATCGACGATGCTTCCCAGGTATGTGAAGGATTCTACATCTTCCAGAGTTTCATCATCAAGAGTGATTGGATTGCTGTTCTCCGTGTTGTGTTTAAGGACCTTGGTTTTCCCTTTGTGTATGTTGAGGCCTACTGATGCAGAGACTGCTGCTACTCTGGCTGTCTTTATCTGCATGCACAACCTTCCTTTTTTTATCTGGGCTCTCGACCGGCAGTAGCCCCACAGGGGCTCCCGATGGAGTTAGATGTTACTGTTTTACAAGCTTTGAATTAAATGAAATAAAATCCTGAAAAATAAATTCTGTAGTTTGTACTAGCTTCTTATTTCTCTGTTCATATCAAAAATTGTCCAAAAGAAAATTCCCTTTGTCAAATTGTCTTTATTCTTGTAATAAAAATATCATTCAGGTATGAATTCATCTTGTAGACCACATATACGTAGTTAAGTAAAAAACTATTGAAAAAGTAAACATAACACTGAAATGTTTATTCTTACAAGTTGAATGAACTCCATTGTAATGTGTGATGAATATGTCATTGATTGATATTGGACTATATTTACATAGAAACTAAATTTACATTTGAAGCATTTCAATAACCATCATTTACATATATGATCAAGAATCATTCATTTCATTATGTTTACAGATAAATTAGAACAGAGAAAAGCTAATGTAGAAACGGAAATCATATATAGTAAACGTACGTTGAATAGATCATGTTTATGTATCTTATGTATTACAGTTTATGAATCATATACATTTCGTATATTTAAAATGAAATTGTAACGTTTGATCAAGGTCCTTTAAATGTTCATTGATTGATTGATTGATTCATTCAATCAGTCAGTCAGTCAGTCAGTCAATAACAACGTAGAACTTCGTACGTACATACATCAGTTCAAGTAGCCATACCACATTAGCACAAAGATACAATTGTCGATTCAAATCCCATAATGGTAGAGGTATTAAAAGTATAGACAGTAATCGGAAAGACTAGGGTTTGAAAATGTTGTTTAAGGAGTATTATCCAGTGAAGTAAATTTGGAAAGAGATAAAAAGAAAGGGACATGATGAATTCAGGAGATTAGAATTTGAGAGAACACAAAGTTTGGATGCATCTGCACTATTTCAAACGACTATTATTATTACAGATTATTGACTATGTTAACTATAACAACCTATTCGACACAGAGTATATTTACTAGATAAGGTATTATAGAACATTGATTACCTTTGCTTGAGTTAGTCAGTCAGCTATAATGTAGGACCACGCACATATATACATCGGTACAAGTTACCATACTTCATTAGCACCACAAGATGAACATCAAATTCATAGAAGTAGTTAAGTCAATGATGGTACTATATAAAAGAAAGATTGCATGTAAGGATATGATACAGGGAGAATGAATTAGTTCGTAGAAAGAAACTTATGAAGTAATACTGATCTCACAATTTCAGGGAAAACAAAGAGTGTATACACCAATATCATTATAATCGATTCTGAGCCATGTCACCTAGAGTTTCCAATCATTGGTTACAATAGTCATGAGGACACCAACTAAGTAGTCTGCTTAAGTGCATAGATTTTAATGTATTTGCGTCATATTCTACCAGAATATATACAAGGATAAAGGTATGAATGAAAGGGATGGTTAGTATCTGATAAGATAACATCTGCTAGGAGTTTGTAAGAGTTTAACTGTCTATCTATAACCACTGAACTTGATTTGAATAACTTTATTATGATGAGTGTAAGGAATACTTTCGAAAAATTATTCTTTTGCTAGAAAGATTTGAAATCAAAAGTATAGTTGGCTGGACATTTTGATGAATGGTACTTTGATCATATCCAGATTATCATTTATTACTAATAATTATTGATCACATTCCATTGATTTCTAATTTGTAGGACATTTTGATGAACTGATCGAAAATTTTAGAACAAACGAGAAACAATTACAAGATCTGAAAAGTAAGTTGATTGAAGAAAGTAGAAATGTATACAGCATAGATAGGTAAGAAATTAGCAGATAAATGATCGTTTTGTCGGTTAACCGGTGATACAACTCATCACTTATCCTTCATCTTTCAGATGAAATCAATACGGATTTATCAAAAGAACATCAAACAATCGATCAATGTATGTTGAAACATAAATTCATCACAAATAAATTTATCTGATGATTGTAGATATGATGTGCAGAAGTAAAATTTATCAAACTATTGAACAAAAGATTCTTATGGGAGGTCAGTGTGTACCTAATCTATTTCGATTTGGAATTCATGAATTCGATCATTACGAGATGGTTGCTGTGATGTGTGTGTGTGTGTGTCTGAAATACGTATGCATCTGATGATTTGATTATTAGTATGAAAATGTGAGGTGTATATCATACAGACATGTGACTTGTAGTTTCACTCAATTGCCAAACAATGAACATGACACATGGCAACAGTGTGCATGGAGTTCGACAGTATTTGAGTATTTCACAACGAACATACTCAACATTCGATCAACTCATATCAACTGTATTTGCAGATGAGGTGATCAAAAACACACATAAATAAACACAGAGAGTTTGTTCAATGGACACATGTCAAACTGTTGGTATTACACCAATACAAATACTGATATCACCTTCATTAGTTATCAACTGAATTTATCTTCCAGTGTGTTTCATTGCAACTTTAAATTCTCTTGTTCTACAATGTTTAGAGTTAATCAATGAATTGAGAATACAAGAAAACATACATGGTATGTGTAGTTTCCTCCAGTGTACTGATCATGTGTGACAACTGAAACGGTATTGATGCCATTTCATCAACATTTTCAGAGTATCTGAAATGTGGTGATGAGAAGTGCAGCACAATCATCATTTTATGTAGTTGACATGAACACTCCACTTAGTTGTGAATGTGATTCAATGTCTGTGATGAAGAACTTTCTGTGTTTTATATTTGTGGTTCAGTAATCTTACCGAATGTAAACCTTCCTATTTGACTATTGAATTGTAGGAATAACTATTCGAAATTCTCATATAATGAACAAGTGTTTCACTGAAGAACAGTCGGTTTATGCAAGTGAGTGTGAATACTTACTAACGATTGATTGGCATATAAGTTTCCTTTGAATTATTCAACGATGAAATGTTTGAAATGGATGATACTTTCTGTGTGATGAATCACTCAATGATCTAATGTTCATCGATGTTGTGCGAATTAGAGACATGTGAAATTCCAGATTTTGGTGATAATAGGTGGCTTATTTGAGTTGTATGCAACTTGATTGATGTATATGAGAAGGATCTATCTAGACCGTTCACCTACTAACTTCCACATCATATCTATTCGTCCAAATAGTGATAGTGAATGATAGTTGACTTCTTGTTTATAGATTGAGTAATTCTACAAACGAATATGATTTTAATATTTTCTGTAACCTTTTGTACTTTCATTCTCACACCTATTCAGAATTGGAAAATGAATACAGAAATGAGGCCTGTCAGTTACCCGTTTCTAACAATATACGAGGTAAATTTACTTAATGAGTAGGTCTGTTTCACACTTGCGTACACATTCTAATACATGAATTATATTCGTATACTTTATTGTTCATAGAAAATCACCCACATCATAAAGACACACCCAACGCAAAACCATCTGGAATGGAGTTTATCTCAATCAAAACAGATTCTGTTTAATTAGTTACAAAATGGGTCTTGTACGAATCCATTGCGACCGAGTTCGTATACTTTTATCGAAGCAAAGCCATGAAGAATTATTTGCTTTCGTTGGAAATTCCCTATATGGAAATGCATATCCAGCGAAATTCATAAAGAAGTATGCCAAAAGCAACCTACAGGTTAAATATCATACAGCTGATAAGCAAAACTGCTTGTTATGTATGCGCTTCAATGGAGATGAAATCACTGGTATAATTAACCATAGGATAATTTCCGTGTTGAACGTAGCTTATCCATCAGCAAGTCTGAGGATATTATATGAAACGGACTGCACACTCAGACAAACAAAATTTAACCGGTCCTCTTTGTCAGTACTTCTAACTGCATTTGTCAATTTATATGTGCGTGCCATTGCACATACCTTGAAAGAATAGAGTGAAAAGTACTTGTTCACATTTACGAGCACGTTCCACAGAAGCTGAGACTGAGAAGTGCAACATCTATAAACAGTGCTATAGCTTGGATCTCATTTAATTAATGCATTACACAACACTTATGTGTTTTATTGTCGAACTCCAACTTCAAATAATCTCTAATCTCTTCTTGTATTATATATATACATATCGTTATTAACAATAACCTTTGTCATTTTAATTGTTTTCGTTCGTTTACGTGAATTGTTTCACATTATATCATACTTCAGTGTTACATTGCAATGCATATACACGATTGCAAGCAGATGATGTGTAACTATGGCATGTAATGAATTCATCTTATTCTGCCTCAATTGTTATTCTGGCCTTATTCAACTTCATAAAACGAACTAATATCATTAAGTTGTACATAAATGTATATTGAATAGAATTCTTCATTTAAACCATCCAAAAGCCCTTCTGATATGAATCAATATATGCTCACTAAGGGCTGGCTTCAAGAAGTATTTCCCGGAGTTCTAGTGAGAAGCAGTGACCAGTGAAGTTCAACCGGGTCTGTTGTGAGATAGTAACTCACCGATGAAGACAATGGTGGATGTGTCGCTCAATTTCGTGGATTAATTAAAGTTAGACATTAATACCGTTGGATACCGGTCAGCTCAGTGGTTTAGAGGTTGAGCGCTCGCGCGTGAGACCGATAGGTACTGCATTCGAATCTCACGTGGCGAGGTCGTGGATGGGCACCATGGAGGAGTCCCACAATAGGATAGAACGGCAGTCCAGTGCTTCCAGGTTTTCCATGATGGTTCTAGCTTCAATTGACTCATGATCTTAACCACAAAAACCCTTTGATAAAACCTGATATTTGTTAGATATTGTAGACTATTATAACTAATTTTATGTCATTTCAGACATCAAAGGGATCGAACGTTTAATTTCGAAACGATTCTTTTATCTAAAAGGATTCAATAAAGAATTATGTAAGTGAAATACTATTTTTCTTTGTACATACATAATTTAAATTCGATGGTGGTTGGAGGTAGTTGACAGGAAACCCTGGACCCGGGTTTCCTGCTACTTGGCGCTCGTCAGTAAGGTGTACCTGTAATCTTGATGAACTGGTGCACCCTGACGGATTCGATTACGTGTCACCCAGCTTCATAGTCAGAGACATCACCACTGAGTTATCCGGGCAGCGACCGACCTCGTGTAGGAGTGAGATATAATCACAATTGATTGATTACTGGGTGGTGATCAATGTCGTGCAAGTCTAGTCCTTCTTGGTGCAGATCGAATGCTATCGACCATGTTGCAATGTGGCCACCAGTAGCACGGAACCCGGGTTCAGGTTTTCCTGTCGATTACCTCCAACCACCATCTAATCTCACAATAGTGCCCGCAGCGTCGAGTCACTTAGACTGGTGGCCATATTGCAGTATGGTCAATAGCATTCGATCTACACTAAGAAGGACTAGACACACACGAAATTGATCACCAGCAAGTGATCAATCAATCGTGATAATTTAAATTCTTTAACAAATTCATTTCAGTATAGAGTTGTGAAGATTGTTAAGTTTTTGATTGAGATCATGAATTGATTGATCCGGAAAAGGGGAATCGTAGATATACACTACTGAGGAATCTTATACTAAGACGAAATGAACGTCCAATGCTACCAGGTTTTCAATGGTGATCTAACTTAGATCAATCGATTCATGATCTCAATCAAAGTAAAGCGATTCATTTCAAATTATTACTTCTCTCAACTCAACACAATCAATTTATTTCATTTCATCAGATCAAATAACAAGAAATATCAAAGTATCTTTTATTGCATTATTCAATCAAGTTGAAAATGTCGAACCACATTAGTCTACCGATATATGTATTCATATATATATGCATATAGAATAATGGTAGAATGAGACCGTATGAAATCGCTGTCATTAATAAATACACAAGGATCAACATAGAGTAGCATAGAAGTCATTTATTATTATTATGTATTTGAACACAGAAATATTGGTAGTAAGGGGCACCGAATACATATGCACCATACAAGTCACTTGATTTGTGTGTGGGCTGTGACACTGCATGGGTGCCCAGACCGAAGTACGTGGTTTGTTTAGGGGGCTACACTCGGAGCTTTCGACCTAAATGTCTAACCTACAAGGCAGTAGAGCATCGTGAGGAGATGCAGTTCCTTTGGTAGCCGGTGACCAAGAATTTGGTTCATACGCCATTTGTTCCTTCAGAATCCTGGAGTCCATGTGTGCCATTTGTTTGAAATCACAGTTTTCCAACTCTTAGGTGGATCCTACATATCAATATCGGTCGTATCAAGGCATTTGGGAGCCATAAATGTCAACAAATACATTTAATCACAAATTATTTCATTTATACAAAGTGATTCAACTCTTTTAGGATAATGGAAAAACTCCCTTCTACAAAAGGAAGTTACTAATAAACTCATCTAGAACAACAATGACCATTTGATAATTGAGTTGTCTACACAATTGAACAATCCATTCATCCCTTAGAATATCGATTTACACTTCATATTCACTATTTTTTACACATTATTTATTTCACTATAAACAGCCCTAATCATAAGTCAATCATAATTGTTCATTTATGTGTACTTAACTGTAATATACCAGTATAGGGGTTGTGCAGATTATTAAGTTTTTGATTGAGATCATTAACATGTTAGACCACCGTTGGAAGCCTGGAAGCACAGGACGGCCGTTTCATTCTATTGTGGGACTCTTCAGCAGTGCTTATCCACAATCCCTCTTGCGGAATTCCAACCCAGTGCATTCAGTCTCGCACGCGAACGCTTAACCTACTGGACCACCCCTATACTGGTAATTAACTTGTGCTCACTAATGACTAGCTTCCTGAGGGAATTCTCGGAGTTCTAGTGAGAAGCCGTGACCAGTAGGGCTAATCCGTGTCGGGTAGAGACAGGTATATACCTCATTACAATGGAAGATGGTCGCACAACTTCGTGGATTGGTTGATGTTAGACACTAACACAAATGAATGCCGGCTCAGTGATCCAATAGGTTAAGCGTTCGCGTGCGAGACACAAGGCCCTGGGTTCAAATCCCATGAGAGGTATCTTGGCTGTGCACTGTTAAGGAGTCACACAATAGGACAAAACGGCCTCCAGTGCTTCCAGGCTTACAACAGCGATCCAACATCAATTATGTTAATGATCTCAATCAAAAACTTAATAATCTGCACAACCCCTATACTGGTATATTACAGTTTAGTACATATAAATGAACAATTATGATTGACTTATGATTAGGGCTGTTTATAGTGAAATAAATAATGTGTAAAAAATAGTGAATATAAAGTGTAAATCGATGTTCTAAGGGATGAATGGATTGTTCAATTGTGTAGACAACTCAATTATGAAATTGTGATTGTTGTTCTAAATGAGTTTATTAGTCACTTCATTAGTAACATCATAGATGTACTCTCTATTCGATTTTCATTAATCTGTAGTGATCTACTTTTATTAGTAGAACGCGATTGATGTAATGGAAACAATTACTATTTATAAACAATTGTATCAGTGATTGTTTTACTGTACTTGTTTGTTTAACTATACTACAGATATTCTTCCTTCCATTGATTATAACCTTGTACGTTTTTACATTTGCTTAGTGATTCCACTTGTACTCCTTTGGCACGATCTTGATATTTTACCGATATCACGAGATCGACTCTGGCTATCAACTGCCAACTAATATTTGGCCTACAAAGGGATCTTATCGGTTAAACTAGCATATAGTCTTCTTTTAGTAGTGATCATAGTCAAATGTGACACAATTCCACGTTACAAATCTATCAAGTATTTTACCATTCATCCCTATGAATTCAGATGTTGGTCAAGTTTTATTTTGTTTTTTTCTTTTTTACATTACAGTTTTACATAACATATTACAAACTATTCATGAACAAATTGATAATGAATTAAAGAAACGTTAGTTAGATTATCTTGTTTTATTTGTTGTTATTTATTGTTAATTCGTTTAATTGATTCATTGAGAGATAATAACTTAAATTTATTGATTAAGATCATGAGTCAGTTGAAACTAGACCACCATGGAAAACCTGGAAGCACTGGACGACCGTTTCGTGCCAAATTAAATTTAGTTGTGAATCTTGATTCTTTTATACTTTCTTCTTTGATTGAAATCTTTTTATTGACACATAGAATTGTATAATGAATACACTTAATCTGTTGATGTATGAGTGAGATGTTTAGTCGTATAACTTCACTTATCTCGTTTGTTTCCATTCCTCAGATAACCTTCGTGATTTCAATTCAGTTTTTCTCATTTCAACTTATGGTGCTGGTGGTGGTGGTTTGTAGTGATGGTGGGGTTTGGATATTAAATGTATCACATAATGCTTCCATTGGGGGTTAACATTAAATGCACGGCTTTTTTTTTTCGAGTGAAATTTATTTCGTCCCATTCGAAAAAATTTTCATCCCCATCTTCCAATAATTTTCATTCTGTTCCGTCCAATCAAATAGCTAGTTTTGAGTTCGTTATAATTGGTCGTTTATTTGTTAAACTTGATATAAAATGTCAGGACCTGACGACAGAGCACATTTTCTTCCAATTACGGGCGGTAGTAAGATGCAAAGCACGAGTTTTGTCGTTCTCCACGTTGTCACAGAAACCGATAACATATACTTGAGCACATTGTATCTCGTAGCGTCTCAATCACTTGAAGAGCGCCGTTAGAACTTATGAAAGAGCTACGTACTGCCATTATGTGGTGAGAAATTCTCATTTCCATGTGGTGGTTGCGCAACATTGCAAATATCACAAAGTCTGTTGTCATACACGTTTTCGTCGTCTCGTCCAGTGAACTCCTCTGAGTTAATCGAAACAATTTCTTCCTCGTCATTGCTTAACGTTGCATCCATATCGACGTTATTCTGATAGTTGGTAACTCACAAAAGATGAAGGAAGGACAGTGAGTGTTCACGGAAGTCCTTTATGAAAAATTATAATAACACTAATCAAATTACCTCATTCGTCTACTCGTCTGTGAGGAACCGCTAGGTGTTCTAAGACCATTTCTCCAACATACGAATTTAATATACGGCTTCCGATCTCTATGGAAATGAGAATTTCTCACCACATAATGGCAGTACGTAGCTCTTTCATAAGTTCTAACGGCGTTCTTCAACGCTTCAAGTGATTGAGACGCTACGAGATACAATGTGCTCAAGATTAGGTTATCGGTTTATGTGACAACGTAACGAACGACAGAGCTCGAACTTCGCACCTTACTACCGCCCGTAATTGGAAGGAAGTGTGCTATATCGTCATGTCCTTACATTTGACATCAAGTTTAAGAAATAAACGATCAATTATGACGAACTAAAAACTAGCTATTTGATTGGATGGAACAGAATGAAAATTATTGGAAGATGAGGATGAAAAATTTATTCGAATGGGATGAAAAAAATTTCACTCAAAAAAAAAATAAAAAAATGGCCATGCATTTAACCTCCATTGGGTAAAGGTTTGGGGTTTAGATGAGTCATAAACATTTTTTTTTCTATTTTGCAGTTGATTGATATGTCTGATAATTAGTGTATTTTCAACCCTCATTTCATACGATACCATCCCATGTCTTTTTTTTTTTGTATACCTAAATATCCATTATTGCTTACCAAGCCAGAAAGAAATCACGTGTATAGACTAAGTCACCTGATTTAAATTCTCGAATGTTTGGGCAATTCCTTTTCTTATTGTTTTGTAGTCCAGTCATTCTGTCTTACGAATTGAAAACATCAAAGAAATGTTGTAATTGGTTGGCCAAGTATTATTTAGCCTGATGATTTCCCGTCTTGACAATTTGGACTAGGTGTAATTCTATAAGAAATTAGAAACTGTAGTCGAATTTCTTCTACGTTATCTTCTCTTCCCATGTTTAAAAGAGCTCACTTAAGAATATTAACAAATTTTTCTACTTACCCATTTGATTGAGGGTGATACAGTGGGATTCTAATATGTTTAAATCCATTTTGTTTACAAAACTGTGCAAACTCTGATGAAGTGAACTGAGTCCCGTTATCTGAAACTCAAATATTAGGTGTCCCAAACCTACCAAATAGTTGTCTGAGACGTAACAGTGTTTGAGATGTAGAGACGGTTTTTGCATAGCATAAATTTCAGGCCATTTTGAGTATAAATCTACCACCACCAAAAAACATTGTCCATTTATTGGTTCAGCATAATCGATGTGTACTCGGACACAAGTCTTGTTCACCTCTGGTCATAGCTGGGATTTTACTTTCAGTGTATTCAACAGTAGATCCCACAAACCAAATTTATCCATCAAGTCATTACCTAATAGGTTGGTATAACAGTTCCCAGAAATACAACATTTTCCGATCATAGTTTTGTCACCCAATGTGAGAGGCAGCTGTATTTCTTCAAGAAGAGTAATGTTAGCTCCTGTCGTACTCTTAGCGTTATAATATGTAGGTTGATATTGAGGTCGACCAAGTTTTATCCAAGTCTTTCTAGAAATTAATGTTATATCAGCCCCCGTATCAACTTGCAGCTTAACCGGTTTACCAATAAAAAAGATAGTTACATACACCCTTTTACATGAGAACTGAATACTTTTTGTAGCCAGAACAACGTTCGAATTATGTGGTATGTCTTTTGATGTCCGTGTCTTATTTCCTTTACGGAACTCATGCTGGTAGTTGTCAATTTTTTTCCCACTTTTACAGCATATTTGAGCATGATCATATTTACCGCATCGGAAACAAACTCTTTTTTAAAATAGCGAACATTATCAGAATGACACTTACTGCATCGCCAACAGGAAGTTTTTGGTTTCATTTGATTTGGGATTTGCTGAGAGTATGGATCCTTGTTTCCGTTTAAAGATTTACGTAAGACACTAACTTCCCCAATCCACTGTTCCTTTCTACTAGATTTGTGTCATGCTTCAAATTCACCATTCTTTGACATTCTTCAGATACTGATTGCAGACAGATATTGGGATCTTGTTCGATCCTTGCTAAAAATCCATGTTCTGATATCTGTATCTAATGCAGACTGTAACCCACAGACCAAAGTAAGGCATTTAAACTGATCTGAGGCCATTTCCTGTACTCGTAATCGCTCACATTCCCGGTTCACGATGCTTGCATACGTCACATAATTGCTATGTGGTTCTTTTACAATCTGAAGACATTAGTATCTAGTGTGAAAAATTGATGATCGTCCACCGAATATACGTGTCAGGCACTCTACTATTTCTCTGAATGTAATGTCAGTTGACTACTTTGGGTGGATAAAATTGCAGAACTTTTTCATTTTCAGAAACTTCAAGTTTCCGTAGTAATAATCTCAGTTTCAAGCCTTTGTCCCACATTTTGAAATCATTAATAAACCATGCCTCAAAAATAATCCCAATTTCTAGATCAAATCTAAATTCATTTATTGAATTCACAATAGAATCCATAGTCATATTGGAATCAGATACTTGAGTTCTTCAAAATACTGACATTTTCTTGACTAATAATTCTATAAGAGAATTTTACTGTTGCAATAAAGATTTCAAATCATCCATTATATTGTAAAGAAATTCACTTTAAATAAAACTATGTAGGTGCAGATTTGTTTTAAATACTGTTGTCAATGTTATAACACTTGGTATTACTTCGTCTACACATATGGGATGTTAATTTACCTTGAATGAATATCTACACTGGATTCCATCGTAATGTTTATTCTACAGAACTTCAACACCATTCAGATCAAGATCTAACACTTGTCAGATTATCCACATGTTTGATTAAGTAAACAACAAATCATTATCATTCTCTCATACACATTACCTTTATTCTTTTGAAAATATCATTCAGGTATGAATTCATCTTGTAGACCACATATAAGTAGTTAAGTAAAAAACTATTGAAAAAGTAAACATAACACTGAAATGTTTATTCTTACAAGTTGAATGAACTCGATTGTAATGTGTGATGAATATGTCATTGATTGATATTGGACTATATTTACATAGAAACTAAATTTACATTTGAAGCATTTCAATAACCATCATTTACATATATGATCAAGAATCATTCATTTCATTATGTTTACAGATAAATTAGAACAGAGAAAAGCTAATGTACAAATGGCAATCATAAATAGTAAACGTACGTTGAATAATTCATGTTTATGTATCTTATGTATTACACTTTATGAATCATATTACTTACTTACTTACTTACGCCTGTTACTCCTCTCGAAGGAGCATAAGCCGCTCATCAGCATTCTCCATCCAACTCTGTACTGGGCAATCCTTTCCACCTCTTTTCAGTTTTTATTCATCCTTTTCATATCCGCTTCCATTACCCGATTTAATGTGTTCTTTGGCCTTTCACTTTTTCGCTTCCCTTCAGGATTCCAAATTAGCGCTTGTCTAGTAATGCAGCTTGATGATTTCCTCAATGTATGTCCTATCCATTCCCATAGTCTTTTCCTAATTTCCTCTTCAGCTGGAAGCTGGTTGGTTCTCTCCCACAAAAGGCTGTTGCTGATGGTATCCGGCCAATGGATGTTGGGTATCATGCGTAGACAGCTATTAATAAATACCTGTACCTTCTTGATGGTGGTTATTGTAGTTCTCCAAGTTTCAGCTCCGTACAGTAGAACTGCCTTGACGTTCGTATTGAAGATTCTGACTTTGATATTGGTTGAATCATATACATTTCGTTTATTTAAAATGAAATTGCAATATTCGATCTGGATACACCAGATATTAGTATTATCATTATTGGTGGTAGTTTTTAGTAGTAGTGTAGTGTAGTGTAGGGTATTGAAGGAGAACACAGTTAAGGACAATGGAATGTAGTTAATAAAATTGAACAACCATATTGTAAATGCTCAATTTGCAAAATGTCCATCAATTGTTTCAATTGACTCACAATTCCTTTGTTCTTGTATTTTCATATGAAATGAGTTCTGTGTTCATGCTTTACGGTTCGATCTTCTTGTCTCTCTGCTACCAGACATTCTGCGCACGACTAGCATCATATACTACTTATATCTACATAAGTAGCACATACCACATAGCAGTAGTAGTAGTATTAGTAGTAGTATTGGCTTTATTCGATATTACACTTTCGGATACAACATAGAATTCTCAGCATGAGGTATTTCAACAAGTTTCTATTACGAAAACAAAAAAACGAAAAAAAAGGAAAGAAAAGGGTGAAAATAAAGATCTGAATCTGTACAACTTTTCAAATTAGAGATATATTTGCGGATACAGATTATTGACTAGATTAACTCTAACAACCTAATCGTCACAGACTATATAGCTTACATTTATGACAATTATTCTTTTGCTAGAAAGATTTGAAATCAAAAGTATAGTTGGCTGGACATTTTGATGAATGGTACTTTGATCATATCCAGATTATCATTTATTACTAATAATTATTGATCACATTCCATTGATTTCTAATTCGCAGAGGACTTAGATAGACGAATCGCAAATATCAGAACAAACGAGAAACAATTACAAGATCTGAAAAGTAAGTTGATTGAAGAAAGTAGAAATGTATACAGCATAGATAGGTAAGAAATTAGCAGATAAATGATCGTTTTGTCGGTTAACCGGTGATACAACTCATCACTTATCCTTCATCTTTCAGATGAAATCAATACGGATTTATCAAAAGAACATCAAACAATCGATCAATGTATGTTGAAACATAAATTCATCACAAATAAATTTATCTGATGATTGTAGATATGATGTGCAGAAGTAAAATTTATCAAACTATTGAACAAAAGATTCTTATGGGAGGTCAGTGTGTACCTAATCTATTTCGATTTGGAATTCATGAATTCGATCATTACGAGATGGTTGCTGTGATGTGTGTGTGTGTGTGTCTGAAATACGTATGCATCTGATGATTTGATTATTAGTATGAAAATGTGAGGTGTATATCATGCAGACATGTGACTTGTAGTTTCACTCAATTGCCGAACAATGAACATGACACATGGCAACAGTGTGCATGGATTTCGACAGTATTTGAGTATTTCACAACGAACATACTCAACATTCGATAAACTCATATTAACTGTATATGCAGATGAGGTGATCAAAAACACACATAAATAAACACAGAGAGTTTGTTCAATGGACACATGTTAAACTGTTGGTATTACACCAATACAAATACTGATATCACCTTCATTAGTTATCAACTGAATTTATCTTCCAGTGTGTTTTATTGCAACTTTAAATTCTCTTGTTCTACAATGTTTAGAGTTAATCAATGAATTGAGAATACAAGAAAACATACATGGTATGTGTAGTTTCCTCCAGTGTACTGATCATGTGTGACAACTGAAACGGTATTGATGCCATTTCATCAACATTTTCAGAGTATCTGAAATGTGGTGATGAGAAGTGCATTTTGTAAGGCAACACAATCATCAATTTATGTACTTGACATCATCACTCCATTTAGTTGTGAATGTGATTCAATGTCTGTGATGAAGAACTCTCTGTGTTTTATATTTGTGGTTCAGTAATCTTACCGAATGTAAACCTTCCTATTTGACTATTGAATTGTAGGAATAACTATTCGAAGTTCTCATATAATGAAGGAGTGTTTCACTAAAGAACAGTCAGTTTATGCAGGTGAGTGTTTAGTACATAAGTTTTCTTTAACATATTCAACGATGTTCGTTGAGTTGGTTTCTGAGAACTATGAAGGAGCCTCCAGATTCCGTACAGGAGCCGAAGGCTTTCCATGTACTCAGAACGTGATGGGGCTTTCCAGAATATCAACGTGACATGCTACTATTTTACAGTAGCATTACATGCTTCTTAGTGGATTGGCTGAATCATAGTGTTGATGTAACAAACGCTAATATCTATACATTATGATTCTTAACCAACAAGCACTACTCTAGTTTGCAACTGTAGGGGTTCTATACGCTCGAGAACCGCTTGTTGTATACTGTATTCTGCGTTAATCAAGTAGCTAACCTAACACTGGCGACGGAATGTACCAATTGCAGCTCAAATTACTTTTGAACATTCAGAATTTTTGCTCGAACTCCAGAAAAAACAGTACGAACAGTTCTACGTGCGTGTTCAGGAGATGTTAACGCAACAAATGAATCTTAGTCATAAAGAACTTATTGATGATTCATGTAATCCACATACCGATTCCATCATCAACTCTATCCATGAATTTAATTTTGATGGTTTGGCTCGTATTACTTTTGAAGTTTGGTTCGAGAAATACGAAGATTTGTTCAAGGTTGACCTCGAAAAACTTGATGATGCAGCTAGGATCAGAATAATGCTACGAATACTTGGCACGGTTGAACACGAACGTTACAGTAATTTCATCCTTCCGAAGAACGCAAGAGATTTTTTGGCGAGACTATAATTTATGGACGATGGTTTTTGGATTTTGGCTCAAAATTCATCCATTAATTTGGCTAAATAGAGTCTTGTCATTATAGTTGATGTCAGTTTATGATGAGAACCCTATATCTGGTTCCTAATACTAACCATCAACTGTAAATATTAATGCGAATTCCTCACGCTGGTTTATAACCCTCATTTAGCCGTAGTATGTACGTGAACATTCTCAAGGTCTCTTTAGCGTCGCTCAAAGGTCGTCCATAAATTAGTCTCACCGATTTTTCTTTTGATGCAACAGTTGATATCTTGTCGCAAGTCTTTGCTGAAAAGCCATTTTAGTTTATTATCCATTATCAGTGCCTCAAGATAATAAAATCCGGTAATGATGACTGGGTGAAAAATGCAGGTTTAGTAAAAAGCGAATGTGAGCGGTTTAAACTATGAGCAGTGACAGCAGATCAGTTTAAGTGTCTCGTGTTTGTATGCGGTCTACAATCCCCCGGAGATGCTGATATTAGAACCAGAATTTTAAGTAAAATTGAACAATGTCCGGACATAACGCTTCAGGAAGTAACCACTCCTCCGAGTGAACTTGAGACATGATACTATGGTTAAAAATAATAGCCAGCCGCCATTCGTTCATGTTGTAAGCAAAAAGGAAGATTCCGGCTCAAGAAAATTATCGCGCACAGACAATCAGCACTCATCTCCATGCTGATCATGTGGAGATCTATGGAAGTACCCAAAAGTCTGGGAAAAATACGCCAGTCGGGGGAAATTTTGGAGAAAACCCCTACGTTTGAGTAAATTTTGTAGTTTTTGTCCCCTTTCCCCAAAGTTTACTATAGCGGCTTGTTATCACATAACTGCGTACGAATTTACCTCCAAAGAAAGTATGTAACTTTGGATATTAATAAACAATGTACTCGTCTTTAATCTGATACAACATCTGATATTACTCTGTTCAGCCCAGAAACTTGGAGGAATATTGAGAGACCCACAGTTCATCCAACAACACAACTAGCACACAGTGCATCTGGTGGGAAGTTTACAGAAGGATTGGGAGGATGTACAAAAGCCAAGGCATTACTAAACAACAAACCTGGAGCTACTCCCGTTTTTCGACCTAAGAGACCTGTGCTATATGCCGCCCTTACAGAAGATAGATGGAAGTGACCAATGGGGCTTATTCGAGTTGTTTGAAACGTGATTGATGTATAGGCAGAGAATATATCCAGACTGTTCACCTGTTAGCTCTTACGTCATTTCTATTCTTTCAAAATCATTTTTCAAATAACGGTGGTGATGATGATGGTTAACTTGTTGTTTACAGATTGAGCGATTCTAGAAATGAATATTATAAATTCATATAAATTTAACATTTTCTGTAACATTTGTGCTTTCATTCTCACACCTATCCAGAATTGGTGGATGAATACAGAAATGAGGCTTGTCACTTTCCCACTTCTAACGATATACAAGGTAAATTTTCCAAATGTATATACCTGTCTTTGTCATCCATACACATTCTAATACATAAATCACATTCGTATATTTTATTGTTTATAGGTAATCACCCACTACAATACAAATTCCGTAAACTTGATGGTCTACTACGAGAACAATATGGGAAAATACGTGTATACAACATTTATTTATGTGAGTATAGTAATTCTTCTATGGATGTACGTTGATTATGTGACAGATAAGAAATTATTCAGGTAGATTTTTCAAATAAAAGATGAATACTTCTCATTCAATTCACCAATCCAAATTCGTCATATGAGTTCACACTGTCACTACATTGAGAAATGTTCAGTCAGTTAATCAAGTACAACATGAAGATAAATGAAGATATGGAAACATGAGAATACAATTCATGATAAACTAGACTACTAGAACTGTATTTCACTACTCGTGAAGTTTAATTCAAACGGAAACAGACACTGATATAGTTGTTGATTACAACAACAAACATTGTGAATGTGAATTATTTCTCTCAAACATTACATTGACACTCATATCATAGATCTACTCTCTATTCAGTTTTCATTAATCTATCGAGTATTTCACTATTCATGCCTATGAATTCAAATGTCAGTTAAGTTTTTTTTTGTTGTTTTTTTACATTTCAGTTTCACATAACATATTACAAACTATTCATGAACAAATTGATATTCAGTCAAAGCAGCTTAGTTAGTTGTCTTGTCTTATTTTTCTTGGATTTTCTTCTGCACTGTCATTGAAAGGCGTACCTCAGAAGTACATAAGCCTTGTGAAGTCTCTACTATAGAGAGTGAGGTAGTCGAACTCACCGACAACTTCACCTATCTTGGAAGTCTGATCAGACCTTATGGGTTGGTGTCTTACGACATCTGTGTGCAGATTCGAAATCCCCGTTTGGCTTTTGTCAGCTTACGTCACCTGTGAAAAATGCGAGATATCTGTCTATCAATTGAGGGATGAATATACTGCTGTGCACTTTGTTTTGCTCTATCTAACGGCTGTGAAACGTGGCCACTAAGAGTAGAAGATATTCATAAGCTACTAGTAATAGACCACAGATGTCTTAGAAATTCTGCTCGCCTCTTCTGGCATCAACATGTACGTCGTAGTGAGAATAAATTCGAAGTATTAGGGATTTCTGGTGAATCAGTTGATCAGAATGTGAATCTGTTATGTCCCGAGAAGCGTAGTGAACTTTTAAAATTCATTTATGGACCAATACTATGCGTATATTTTTATTGTATAATTGTTAAATAACTAAACCAAACATATTCATGTTCCTCTTATTTTGAGCGTTATTTTTACTTGTGAACCATTAGTTTAAGATTCACCATTCTTGAATTATGCCCAGTCTATCGATTACTACCTCCCACATTCACAGCCACATTTGGCTAATTGTTACACGAATGTTGTTTCGTATTTTATGGTACCATATGGTCTGTCTGGTTGGTGTAAAAACCCAGTATACGTGAAATAAATTATTCTTATTGCAGAGGCTGAAATTGGTGTTCTGAACTTAACTGGCTGGGCTAGGTAGGAAGCAGGACCAATAAGGACTCAAGACTGCTCGCACGGGTTCCACTCGTCATTGGTTCGGTCGATAATTCACTGCCCTCTTATAGGCGGTATCGTTACGTTATACATTAACATGGCACACAGGCCACAAGATATAACAGAATCTTCATCAACTGAGATCGTTGGGCCATGTGTTACGTATTTCCGAATACCGATTACCACTACGAACAGTGCTGATCAGTGTTGAAGACGGATAGAAGAAAGTTATGGGCGGCCAAACCAAAACGTGGCATCAGTCCATAAAGTCATCATCTTCTAGTCTGAGGCATGTTGGTTGATGCAAACTACTTGGTTGTGGTCCAATCGACTATCATAACCAATGGTTGGAGACTCTAGGTGACATGGCTCAGAATCGATTACAATGATGTTGGTGTATACACTCTTTGTTTTCCCTGAAATCGTGACATCAGTATTACTTCATAAGTTTCTTTCTACGAACTAATTCATTCTCCCTGTACTTATCTCCTTACATGTAATCTTTCTTTTATATATTACCATCATTGACTTAACTACTTCTATGAATTTGATGTTCATCTTGTGGTGCTAATGAAGTATGGTAACTTGTACCGATGTATATATGTGCCTGGTCCTACGTTGTAGCTGAATGACCGATTGATTGAGATTATTAATCGTAAATTAATAACGTTTAGAAACGAGAAGTAATTCATTGTTTACAAATTTAATATTTATTAAGTGTATTTGATCAACTTGGTACATAGTAACACATCTCTTTTTTTATTTTTTTAGTTATTCCTTAATTGTGTTACAGAAAACATTCAGAAATTTTTGTCAATTGGTCATTGTTTTAATTAAACTTATGTTCAATCATTGTTACATCTTATGAAGTATTAATAAGTAATTTCTTAATTGTTTTAATAAATCACTTTTGTGGATAATAAGTCTTATAAATGAACGCTAGATTTGGTTTCCTTATCTCTTCTAGTAATGCACACGTTAAATCTACACAGCAACTTGAACATGAGTAAAAAGATGCGGAATATGGAAGAAACTCATTGCTCCAAAGGTTAATCCATGTACAGGAAATCTAGGGTTTTCATAGTATTTTAGAATTACCTTGGGTTTCTCGAAAATTCTATAATGCTACTAAGCATAATAGCAGTGTAAGTAAACATCTGTTGATCGCCAATGTAGATGATCTATATCGAGTGATTGAAAGCCTAATCGTGTTAGACATGAATGTTGTGACAAACCAGCTAACTTAAAATTCATACCTCCCGGTTAGCATTTAACATGGATTACCCCTTCGACGTATCAAAGTACCATGGTTGCCTTGAAGACCGTTTACTTGAAATAATATTCATAGGTTGTTATCTAAGAACTAATATTTGAATCAAACAAATGACACATTTATATAATGAGATATTATCTTAAATCTAGACTGAAAATATATTAAGCAATGATGGATAGTAGGTTGTAGTAAAATCAAGTACGCTTACCATTTCATCAATCCTATTTGGGATTCGTCAGCTGAATGTGCTTGTATCTCAAAGTTGATGTTTACTTTGAGATTCGAATTTGAAAATATACTTCCTTGATAAATTAGTATATCATTATATGAATCAGTTACGTATCTCAATGACTGCCAATATGAATTTAACTGATATTGAAACATTTTCCTCTGTAAATGTCAAAGATGAATACAGTAATTCTGATTTAACTTAAGGTGGGAATAAATACAACAAATAAATACAATGAATAGACAGATAATGGGATTACTAGTTTCATATTACAAATAAATATATATTTAATGGTTGAATTTATGAGTCGATTTAAGCTAGACCATGTTGTAATCCTTGGAAGCACTGGAGGGCCGTTTCGTTCTAGTATTGAACTCCTCAGTGATCTAGAAGTTAGGCTTTTGGGCGTGACATCAAATCCTACGTGCAGGATCGTGAATGCTGAGAAATCTTATACTACGACAAAACAACCATCCAGTGCTCCCAGAGTAGTCTGGTTTAAATGGACTCATGAATTAAACCATTAAATTACTACAATTTCATAAACCTTCATTCTGGCATACACGTTTCTTAGAAAACAAGAACCACAATATGTTTGATTTATAGTATAGACCACTGAAAATAATGATAAGTGACAAAAAGACTAAAATGTTAAACAAATAAAGAATGGATAATGTTAAAGAGTTCCATTACGTTCAATTTGTATTCCTCCAAAATCAACTTTAGGATGCTGTACAATTGAGTGTGTTTCGTGTAAAATTACTTACACCTGTTACTCCACGTCAAGGAGCATAGATCGCTCATCAACACTCTCCATCCAAACCTGTCCTGGATAATCTGTTCCAATTCTTTACAGTTGTTATTTATTCTTTTTCTATTTCCCGACGTAATGTTACCTCTGACCTTCCTCTTTTCCGTTTTCCTTCAGGATTCCAAGTTAGCGATTGTCTCATGATGCAATTTGATGATTTCCGTAATATATGTCCTATCCATTTACATCGTCTTTTCCTAATTTCCTCTTCATCTGGAAGCTAGTTTGCACTCTCCTACAGAAAGCTTTCGCTGATGATACCCGGTCAACGGACATTGAATATCTTGCGTAGACAACTATTTATAAATACTTGTACCTTCATGATGATAGTTGTAGTTTCGTGTAAAATCCTGAAACCAAAGTACAGAAAACTATAAGTGCTAAACATCAAAATATTATTCGATTGTTACGTACTAAATAAGTTATTTCATAGTTGAAACAGTCATAAAATAAGGTACACTATTCATACCTTTAAATGAGAGTAAAGTTGAAGTAGAGAACATAATCAAGTTACTAAGAATTAAATGTAATTCACAAAAATAATTACCGTTTGATAAACAGGATATAGGAAGCCTATTCAAAATAAGAGGAACCCTAAATAAATGAAGGTGAATAAACATTTAAAAGATGAACAACTATTGTTAAATATTTGGGAACAAACTAATGTGCCAAAATAAAAGACACAAGTGTGGACCAAATTATGTGTTAGAAACATTTGTTACATGAAACTGAAACTACTGATTAAAATTAAGTAGTATAATTCTAAATACCATTTGATGTAGAGATTTGTCATTGTAAATCAGCATGAACAATTGAATTACAATTCATTTTTGTTACATTAAATTCAAATATTTGAAAAATAAACATAACATATAGTTAAACTAATGCTTTTTGTATAGTATCAAAACCTTAAAATGGTTGAACTAAACTATATCAAATAATTTAATGATCCAATTATAATGGAAGGTCGACCAGATATTTTTCAGAATATTTATTAATAATATTTAGCTCAACATTTTAAGAGTGTTGTTATAATGACGACAAGTGAGACAAATATATCTTCAGAAGCACTTGCATTTGATAACACCTTTAACTTGTCTACTGATTTTGGCGTTTTAGTTTCATATCAGGATGGTCAGGTCCTTTCCTGATCATTTTACTACGATCTATTGCAGCCTCTCGTAGAACTGTTCTTTATCGTCATCATTACTATCATTGGTGGTTGCATAACACTAGACAACGTTCATTATGGTTAGCTCTTCTTTTATTTTGAATGATGTTTTGATGATCCTCAGTCCATGATATTCCCATCCTATCAGTGTTTTACTTGCATTTTTGGACAGCATCAGAGCAACTTCCAGAGTGTGGGGAACATTTTCCTCTTCATGATCGGAGTACGGAAGCGTCTCTCCTAAATCCATCCTTTTCTGTCGAGCTTGAGTCTAATGGCTCTCACTGATCTCCTCGATTTCGTCTCTCGCGCTGTCCGGGTGTTCCATGTACCGATAATTATTGACACCCTTGTTGTTAGAAGGGGAACAGACCTGATGACCTCTAATGAATCATGGCATTCACCACGAGGCGTCATAATTCTTGTGAATGAAGATTATTCCACTCAGAACAATGTAGACGGACATCAGAATTTCAGGAACGACCGCTTAAAATAAGCCCAAGAATTACATTTACTTTCATAGCAGCGATATCATCTTTATTTAACATATCAATGGTAATTCTGTCTTGCCTCACCTCTATTAACAGATGTATCGGTGACGACATCTGTAGCGTGGTGTCGAGTTGAGCTTGACTATGTACACCGCTACAAGACTACGTGCCAATTAAACAAAAAGATCCTCGTAGACCAATATCAGAAGGCAGATAATAGTAGTAGTTGAAATATATTTGCTGGCAATCTCGTGGTATCGAAAGAATACCGAGATCGTTCCAAAGGAGTACAAATGCGATCGGCAAGCAAAGGTACGTGCGTAGTCACAAACCGCGTAGAAGGAATGGAATACAATGGAAGACCGAAATGGCTGTTATTAGCACAGTTAAACAAACGAGCACAGTAGAACAGTCACTGGTACAATTGGTTATAATAATAATTGTTTTCATCGAACCAATCGCGTTCTGTTGACAAAAGTAGGTCACTACAGAATCCTCTCCACTAGAAAGGGTTTACACTTTCAATCGTTAGCGGTTCGATTCGTGGGACTGATCGGCAGAAGTGCGGTTGTAGGACGGATGAAATTGGCGGAACAGGAAGTGATCGTTGATGCTCGAGTTGCCAACGAAGGTCTTTTGCGCAGAACGGTACCAGGAGAAGTGTGCTGTATTTTGTGGTCGAATTAGCATACCACACCAGAGTGGTTTGTATCCAGGATCTGATGATTGCGTTCGTAGGGATACGAAACAGAAAACGCTGCAGACGTAGGACGAAACCACGTTGAGCCAAGAAACCGGAAGCGACCATAACAACCAAGCGTATGCCAGGCGAATTCGAAACCAGATTATCGACTGAGTGTATTGAAAAGAGCGTGGGTGATCAGGCCAGCTTTCGCCAAGTTTGACTGAAGTCGACGTTACCAAACGGGCGATGGTCGGAGGCGTGGGCTCAGGATACAAAAAAATCAAAAAAAGAAAAGTGTAGCATGCGTGTAGTATAGGGATAATCCTACACCGTATCCGTTATTGACTGTGCGTTTAGTCACGAAAGCATACGGCTAGGCGTACTCGGCGACCGGAACGTGAGACGGTAGTCTCGTTCGTGCTCCGTGAGCCTACGATCTCATCCGAGGTCAAAGGCAGCGTGGTCTGCCGATCTGGACGTGAGACGGAAGTCTCGTCCGTAGATGGTGCAGATGACGCGTGCTGTTGACCGGGACGTAAGAACGAGGTCTCTGATGTATCTAGCGTGGGATCCGAGGTAGACGTAGAGATCCCGCTAGAAGGTTTGATAGGTCCAGCATTGAGTCTCAAGTTATCGGGTAGGGCACTGTCATCGACGTGTGCTGGTTTGAGACGATCAATGCTGACGATCTCGACGCAGCCGTGTCGATCATCCTTGAAGATCTTTTCGTGACGAGAGATCACGTGAAAATGTCCTTCGTAAGGCTGTTGCAAAGGTTTGCGTACCGAATCTACTCGTATGAAAACATGTGAACAGGTAGATAACTCTCGAGGGAGAGCGACCTGTCGATGTTGTATTCGAGTTGACACCGGAGACAGCGTTCGCATAAATACAGACAGTCGATGGACGTAGTCTGTTTTACCGAAATCATTACTGCTCCGTGGTGTGAAGAATTCCCCAGGCAGACGCAATGTCGTGCCGTATACAAGTTCAGCGGCGGAACATTGGATATCTGCCTTCAAACTCGTTCTGATGCCTAAGAGGACGAGCGGTAAGGTTTCGTACCAATTGTCGTTTTCGTGTGCTCGGAGAGCACTTTTAAGTTGTCGATGAGACCTTTCA